AATCTACCGATATAATAATGAATATATATATATATATCAATTTTTCATTCAGAAAAAAATAATTATAAATCTAAGCATTATTAAAAATATTTTTCAATCATGAAATTCAATATATAAAATAGGAAAATTAATATTATCGCAGAGAATTTTTCCTAAATATATTTATAAAATATTTTTTTTATATTATATTATAAATTTGAAGATTCTATGATAAATTAGAAATTATATATATTTTCATACTTATAATATCAATAAAGAGTAGTCAAAGTTATTATCAATATCTTATTTTATTCAATTAGTATAATAATAAGAATTATAATCTAATATGTATATATATATATATATATATATATTCTTGCTAGTATTATTCTGATTACTTCTGTTATTATTGTGACTTATGCATTACTGCTGCTTTTTATTTTTTTTTGTTCCGCATCCTTCTACCACTACAACACTTCTATTACAATTGCGACGACGAGTAATGATTTTTTCTTATACACTGTACTGCCGTTTCTGTATCTGGTACAACTTCTTCGTTCAGTTATATGCAATTGCAATCGGTATAGAATGCAACTCAATTCGTCAAAGCCACCAGCATTATGAGACTTCTACGCTGAAGACTCAACATCCAGCAAAACGAAGTGCACCAGATGCATCTAGCCACACTCGAAAGCAAAGACAACTCAAGATTGCAACAAGCTTGAAGGTACCAACTGCGTGCCCTGTTTAAGTGAGCTCTCCAACCAACATGCAACACAATGCAAGTTAAGTAACAGTAAGATACTTTGCAAAACCTGTCTTCTCCAGCAGCTCAAGCAAGCGTACCAAGCGTCAACAACCATGAATGACGACATATTGGCGCTGCAACCATGACCTACAATGCAAGGAAATACACTAGTCCGGACTTGAAGATGCACCTGCTTCCGACCAACTTCCTTGTCCGCGCCTTGGTTTCGAACGCAAGTCTAGGATCATCTGCTACTGATCTGAAGGACAGCCGAGAGATCGCTTATGGGGTCATGGCAGGCCATGGCAGGGGCCCTCATCGGCAAGAAGTGCAGCAACGAGCAACAACTTCGGGCCCTGAAGCCTGGGTCTGCAGAAACGCCCGCATCCTGCAAATCCCGGGGCTGGGCCGAAACTTCGCCAGGCCTCTCCTGAAGCCAGCAAGCAATGAGGCCTCAACCTCCGGCTCTAGAGCCGTTCGGAATTCGATACTCGGGTCTGTGTTGCAGAAAGGTGTTCTATACACAAGCCTTTCGTAAACGTCCCAGACTTTGTTACAGCTAAGATTGTCGGAGGGAGGCTATCCGACTCAAGGATGCTCGCGCGTGGTGGGAAGAGAAGACAGAGCCTTGGTGTGCTTCAAAAGAAGGCTTATGCACTGCAACCATGGCCCGAGAAGCCGATGGAGGCTCGTTGCAGGAAGGCAGGGAAGACAGACAGTTCCTGTGCGTTTCGAGCTGACGGGGCAGACGAAGGCACAGAAACGTGCAGCCGTCACGTCCCTCGCATGTTGGTGCACTGAAAAGCGCTGGTTTGCTACACTTCTGTGTCATCTTCCGCAGGAAGACCACGGACCCCCAACCAGCCTCCGTGAAAAGAGTGGGCTCTCAGGCCAAAGTTTACGGGTTCAGGTGGTGCTGCGGGTCAGGCACACCTGGCATGCGGTTGGGATCTGGCTATGCTAGCAGGACACTGGCACTGTGAGATGAAGGATACTCCTGGGCTTTCCGATTGAGGGACACAGGGGCATGCGCTAGGGTAGCATCAAAGGTGATCATCATTTTGGCATACAACAAGACTCAAACCCTGCAAGCGTTGTACAAGCTAGGGTAAACACGAAGGCTTCGGCAGACATGCATCTTTGGCGAGGTCCGGCTGGGTTTACGCAGTGCAGCACGCAATGGATAAGTCGCACGATTCAAATGAAGGGGCTGCGGTGGCAAGACCTCAGAAACAGCAATCGGATCCTTTCTGTGAATTGGGGCTTTCTGTGAGATGCGGGAGCTGTGCTTGCAGTCAGTCGGTTTGCACCTGCCGACTTTGCACTCATCGCGAAGCCTAGTCTCACTGACCACGAGGACTTGCAAGGTTGTGCTGAGCACAACAAGCGGATATTGTTACAGGCTTGGTTTATGCAGCGCGGCACCCAATGGACGAGTCGCATGTCGTACAACGACTCGACTCTGTTCCGAGCCCTCAGAGAAAACAAAGGGCTCAACATTCTAGAATCCTCTCAGAAATCTTGCTTTGTCCGATACTCAAGTCAGGCCGAGCAGTGCTATGCCTGCCCTTTACCCTGATGCTAAGATTCAGATGCAGATTGCCGCAGGATTTCGCTGGCCCCTTCCAGAGATTCTAGCGGACTCGGCCTTCCTGTCGGTTGAGGGAAAGATGCACACGACCGATTGGTCGCCACTTCTTAGAAGTGTTTTTATCGCGAAGCCGACAATGATCACGTAGCTTTACAAGGTTACTTTCAGCAGCATTGCCGGCCATGCTTGAAGGACTCCAACCGGGATGAGGCAGCACAACGCCAGGGCGACGCAAAATGAAGGGGCTGCTGTGGCAAGACCTCAGAAACAGCAATCGGATCCTTTCTGTGAATTGGGGCTTTCTAGATGCGGGAGCTGTGCTTGCAGTCAGTCGGTTTGCACCTGCCGACTTTTCACTCATCGCGAAGCCTAGTCTCACTGACCACGAGGACTTGCAAGGTTGTGCTGAGCACAACAAGCGGATATTGCTACAGGCTTGGTTTATGCAGCGCGGCACCCAATGGACAAGTCGCATGTCGTACAACGACTCGGCTGCTGTTCCGAGCTCTCAGAAACCACAAAGGGCTCAAAATTCCAGAATCCTCTCCAAAGTCGTGCTTAGTCCCATAATCAAGTCAGGCCGAGCAGTGCTATGCTGCCTGCCCTTTACCCTGATGCTGAGATTCAGAAGCACATTGTAGCCGCAGGGCTCCTTCCAGTGATTCCAGCGGGCTCCGCCTTCCTGTCAGAATGAAAACGATGCATGCTACCGATTGGTCGCCACCTGCCAACAGCACTCTTATCACGAAGCCGACAATGATCACATAGCTTTACGCGTTTATTCTCAGCAGAATTGACAGCCGTACTGAAAGACTCGAGCTGGGACTCCGCTGCTGTTCCGCTCCTTCAGAAACCGAAAGAAACGGCAAGCCCTGGAATTCATCCAGGAAGCAAGCGGCAATGTGAGAAAGTCTGCACAGACACCTAGAACTCGACCCAGAAAAGGCAACCAGTGTCACAAGACTTGCAAGACCTGTTGGCGACTTCAGTGTTGGCCAGCGGCTCGGCCGCTGATTTGGGCTACAGGTCGCGCAAACCACAAACTGCGAATACCACTCCAAGAGCGCACCCTGGCAGGCGTAGAGTGCCACAATTTGTCAGCGGAAAGGCTGCGATTCACAGCACTGCGACCAAGTGGGTCAGGGTTTGGGGCTTACTTCGGCGTTGAAGCCTGCGGGTTGCAGCATGTTTTAGCATGCTGGGCTTGGGGGCCGAGAGAGGCGGCCGCTTCGGCCAGGACTGAAGTACAAGTCTCAAGCTTCTGGGGTAGT